ATGTATTTTGCAAACTGCAGCATGCAAGTGAAATGGGCTATACTGAAACACTACAGGCCTCAGGGCCTTCACAAGAAAAATGCAGGTGGCGCCATAAAGCCCATCATTTCAGTTCATATTGTGTTTTTGTGGTGCATACAGTATTAACAAGAAAAATACCTAGTTGATAATCCAGCCTATCATGGAATGGCTTATTAGTTTACGTTTGTGGAACCAGATGAAAATGAATACAAAGAGACTTGACTGAAACACTGCAGCAAACTTTAATGAATTGAACTACCAGTTGGTTTAAACATAATATTGGAACACACTGATACTACTGCTGCAGTTTTAATGGCCATTTGGATAGTGAACAGGCCGTCATTACTTCCTTTTGAAGAACAAGAATTGGTTGTTATTTTGCATTGTATGTATAAAAAAAAAAAAAAAAAAAAAAAAAAACTACAAAAGACAAGCAACTTAGCCACCATATGCTTAGTTTGTACATATGAAAACCCAGAAAGGCAGTAACCATGAAAAACAAAAAACTGCTCACACACATGTATGAACACTTGACACCATTTCAGGAAAAAAGTCCAGACACCAAGAAAATGCTACTATGCCTGAAATGAATAAAAAAGGCATTCATTTGTAAATTAAAATCATAAAAATGCAGTCAGTTGTAGAAATATTAAATGGCCTTCATACACTGACACCTGCTGGAACAGAAATTAAAGTTACTGTACAGGTGCTGGTTATATAATTAGAATATCATCAAAAAGTTGATTTATTTCAGTAATTCCATTCAAAAAGTGAAACTTGTATAATGTATACATTCATTCCACACAGACTGATATATTTCAAGTGTTCATTCCTTTTAATTTTGATGATTATAACTGACAACTAATGAAAACCCCAAAATCAGTATCTCAGAAAATTAGAATATTGTGAAAAGGTTCAATATTGAAAAACCTGGTGCCACACTCTAATCAGCTAATTAACTCAAAACACCTGCAAAGGCCTTGAAATGGTCTCTCAGTCTAGTTCTGTAGGCTACACAATCATGGGGAAGACTGCTGACTTGACAGCTCGCCAAAAGACGACCACTGACACCTTGTACAAGGAGGGCAAGACACAAAAGGTCATTGCTAAAGAGGCTGGCTGTTCACAGAGCTCTGTGTCCAAGCACATTAATAGAGAGGCGAAGGGAAGGAAAAGATGTGGTAGAAAAAAAGTGTACAAGCAATAGGGATAACCGCACCCTGGAGAGGATTGTGAAACAAACCCATTCAAAAATTTGGGGGAGATTCACGAAGAGTGGACTGCAGCTGGAGTCAGTGCTTCAAGAACCACCATGCACAGACGTATGCAAGACATGGGTTTCAGCTGTCGCATTCCTTGTGTCAAGCCACTCTTGAACAAGACACAGCGTCAGAAGCGTCTCGCCTGGGCTAAAGACAAAAAAGACTGGACTGCTGCTGAGTGGTCCAAAGTTATGTTCTCTGATGAAAGTAAATTTTGCATTTCCTTTCCTTCCTTCCCAGTGTCTGGAGGAAGAGAGGAGAGGCACAGAATCCACGTTGCTTGAAGTCCAGTGTAAAGTTTCCACAGTCAGTGATGGTTTGGGGTGCCATGTCATCTGCTGGTGTTGGTCCACTGTGTTTTCTGAGGTCCAAGGTCAACGCAGCCATCTACCAGGAAGTTTTAGAGCACTTCATGCTTCCTGCTGCTGACCAACTTTATGGAGATGCAGATGGAGATGCAGATTTCTTTTTCTTTCAGATTTTCGGAGATACTGAATTTGGGATTTTCATTAGTTGTCAGTTTTAATCATCACAATTAAATGAAATAAACATTTGAAATATGTCAGTCTCTGTGTAATGAATGAATATAATATCCAAGTTTCACTTTTTGAATGGAATTACTGAAATAAATCAAATTTTTTATGATATTCTAATTATATGACCAGCACCTGTATGTACTGCATAAACACAGTATGTAGTGAGACAATTATTCAAACTAAAACAACAAAAAATGTAGATGCCGGTTGAACATGCTACACTCTAGAAGCACTACAAGTTTTTATTATGCTGCACAATTAAGCTAATACATCAAATGGTAACATTTATGTTTAATATTATAAATGGTGTCGGGATTAATCGTGTGTGAAACAGGTTTAGGACTCAAACGCAAGAAGTGAAAAAGCCCAAAGTACACCCCAAAGGGAGTTCCCATCTCCCACAGAAAACACTGCTCTAAACAGCTCGTTTGTAGTTTGTTTGTAGTTTCTTGTGACGTCACAAAAAACACACGTCATAATTCTTGCCTAGCTGCTACCCAGACACATCTTCAATAACACATGGAAAAACACACTGAGCTGCAACACACAGTGACTGTCTCCACTTTCCCTTCCAAACATTAGCTACCCTCCATGCAGTCAGTGGACATAAAGATGTTACTGTGATGTGGAGACACAGTTAAAAAAAATTAATAACTCACCACTCTGAAACTCTTGCTCCCGTCTATGTTGCTAAGCTAGTAAGGGGAACATAAACAGCTTAACCGAGCCATGTTTCCCGGCCGGTTTCAGGACCCGGCCTACTCTGCTTCTGATTGGCTAGTTGTTGTTGACTAGGAACTGCGCATGTGCAACTCCAAAGAACTTGTAGAGGTAAGATGCTTCACTCCATAGTTGAAACGGAGAGTTCAACACAGGGTGAAAAGAGGAGCTGCAGCAATGTGCAGTATGGCAAAAATATAGTGTTACCATGTAAACCTGTTCTGGTACAACCCCTAAATAAAATGATACACATGAAAATGAGCAAAATATGACATCCATAAAAAAAGCAAAGCTAAACAAAACAAATGTGAGCACACTTACTGAGGTGGTTCAAGAGCAGGGAGATCCAGGAGCACAAACGGACAGGGTTACAGCAGGACACAAGGCAGGTACAAACAACACACTTGACATGGGTGACCTCTACATGCTACCATGATCCAGCAGCGACAGAGCAGAACAGAACAGCAGGTAATATATACAAGGCTAAGGAGCAGGGAAAATAATAAACAGGTAAGACACATGAGGTGCAAGCAAGACAAAATAGGAAACAAGCTGGATGCAAACAACAGACGCAGACAACTTCAAACTAAAACAGGAAATAGGACAACACACTGAAACACGAACCAAACAGACAACTAAAACCAACAGAAGTACAACACAAAAACCCAACATAACCCGTAACCAGGGAAGAAAACGAGCACCCAGACATAACAGACAGACGTGCAGATCAACCCCCAAACAAGTACGTGACAAACACCCAACACAAACCATTTAAAAATAAGACAGGAACAGGACTAATATGCTGATACACAGGTACCATAACCATGTAAACAGACTGAAACAAGAATACAGACAGACTTAGACCAAGATCGTGACACACAATCCCTTACAAATAAAATCAAATAAATTAAAGCAATGATGAGCAGGTTAATAACAAATATTGCTTATTTTTTTAACCTTTATTTATTCAGAGGAACCTCTCTTGCCTCACAAATGTTAAGCAATCCATTCATCTCGTGCAAACGCATATTTTGACTTAACTAGTATTTGGAGGATTTTTTTCATATTCAAGGTTTGTCTGCTGTAAGTGTGAAGTTTCAGTTTGGGTGAAAGTCCTTGATTTTATGTGGGGATCGTTTTTAACATTTTGTGTTTCCATTACATTTTGACAGCTCAGTATGAAATGCACTAGCAGGATGTGGGTGACAGCAAGCTGCAACTTGTGTTCAATTCAAAGAAAGGAGGTAGGAGTTGTATTCTTGAGAAGAGCAAGGTGAAGAGAGTTAAAGTTAATATTTAATAGGAAATATGAAGGCATTAAAAATTATGGCATAAATCTTGCAGGAATGTTTCAGTCAATATGGCGAAGATGTTTTTTGGGAATGCGAAGAGAGTGAGTTGTGTGATGAATTTAAACATGAAATCTTTTTTTGTATAGTGCTTGTGGTATGCAGGGACTCTGCAGGTTAAGCATAGTGTAAAAGGAGAAAAAGCCCTCTTCAGCAGACACAGTAGAGTGAAAGTATAAAAGTTAACTAAGTTAAGGTTAGCAGTAGTTGAAGCAAAGAGGGTTGGCTTTGGGTTTTATAGTCAAACACATATATAAAACAAGCTGAAACACGTGTCAGCTGTGGATTTGAATATTCAAAATTGTCAAATGGGTTTCAGTGTTGATTGTAGTTGTCTGCTTGTGTGAGACCTTTAACCGAATCTAACAGAGCATAACCTTAGCCACAACCCATGCACCGAACATACTGCACAACTTTTCAGTTGCATTACTGATGCACAGTACAATAAATGCACACAGTCAAAAGCAAAACATTATATTTTGAAGGTAAATTTCAGTTTTACATCCAGTTCCAAAGTTACAGTGCACAATCTTGTATGTGCCTGCTTGTAAGGCATAGTATGAAACCTTTACTGACTTGTAGGAAGCAAGAAGACTTCTGCACTATGGTGTCCTGGACATTTGCACTTACCCAGAGATCCTCCAACTTGACAACCATGTAGGGCTTCAAAATCAGATTTTTTAGTATAATATTTTAACGTCAAAACATAATCTGAATGAGCACATTTTTTAAATCAGAACAGCTGTGGGTGTTTTACAACTTACAATATGAGGGTTGTCAGTCAGAGGTACAAACTTATCATGACATGTTTAGACTATAGTTATAATCGCAATTCAATTTCTTATAATTACATATATTTCACAGGTAATTTTGTTCACGTACTTAAAAAGGTCTACTGTATGCTCATGTTCTCTTGACGAGTGACCACTTGCGGTTATGTCAATAATATATGTCTATTGTAAGCAGCAAAGGCAGATGCAGCATGGAGTTGTTTTACTTTGCAAAAGGTGGATTGTTGTTTGTACAAAAACTGTCAGGCACAGCAGTTTTATGTCCTGTCTCCTCCCAAACCACTTTGTGGGTGGCTGCACCTCACATATTACTGTGCAGTGTGAAGTTTCCTTTCAGAACTGAAAAAAACTTTGTGGCATGCAAAAAGGGAAAATACAGAAGTCTTACTTATACTTTTGTCCTTTGCCATGGACAGAGACTTGGCTTCTTCTTGGGCTATGAAATGATCTTATATGTCTCTACTAGATGTCTAATATACATAGACATCCCTAATCCAACCAACGAGGATGGATATTCATTTTCAATTTTCTCAGCTGAGATGGTGAACCACTATGTACCAGCGTGGACAGAGGAAAAGTTAGTAACTCACAGATTTCAAGAAAAGAGGTATGATTCTTTTTAGGTTTTTGTTTCGAACACATGTTGACTCCTGTGTTATCAGCATATAAGATGTGCCTAGTTGGAAATGTGAAAGTATTTTTTATGTATGAAGAGAGATACTTCATACATCATATTATTCAAAGTGAATGTTATATTTTTAAATAAATGTTTTAATGTGTTAGAGAAATTCTTCCTCCTTTAATAAAAAAACAAAGTCTGACAAAAATAAAAAAACAGGTTTCATGTAACTATTTAGATAGCATTTTGACATCCTGTTGTACATAATTAATACAACATTGCATAAACGTAACACTAACGTGGTCTGATGAAACCACGCTGTTGTGACGTACAATACGTTTGAGCATAAGAAGCAAGAAACACAATGGCGTACTACAGTGAAACTGCGAATCGGGTAAGCTTAAAATGTTAAGACTGTAATGAGCATGCCTGTAAAAGTTTTTGGTTAAGTGTATGTCAGTCATGGAATTTGGGATGTTGTTTTTGTATTTGGATGTGGATTGACTTGGAAAATTAAGTGAATGAGTGAAGTGTGTTTCTTTGATTGAAACATTAGCATCGTTAACATCTTGACTGTTAAAAACATAAATTCAAGCAATTTGCTATTAAAGTGGTTCAGTTTGGTATTGTAATATGGGCATTACATGATACATTTCCTTTTCATTATACATTTTTGATGATATTGCAGATTTCCATCGAGTGTGTGGACAATGCTGAAGGATTTCCTGGTGTAATCGTCTATGACGATAAAACATTCCCCATTTCTTCTCAGCGAGTAAGGTTTATCCCATTTAGTGTACAGGAAACATCTATTTAAATATATGGTTGCAAATACACAGTTTTTGTGTACTAAGTGTTTTGTGTTCAATTTTGTTTGTTTGCTTTGTTGCATGGCCAGGATGCCATAGCGCGGACTGCTTCTGGTGATGGACAAGACTCTTACAGGTTAGACAAGGCAAGGCAAATTTGTGTGTATATATAGCAAACCTAAAATTTAGTTATGCAATTTAATAAATTTATGAGAATTGATACCCAATTATGAATTTTTAACATTCATAAAATCAAACAATGTTCCTCGTTAAGGGCACCACCGGAGTTGTTATAATCCTAGAGTCTCCGGACCTCTAGGTAGTTTTAATAATTATACAATTACAACTAGTGATCAGTTAGTTAATAATCGCTCAATTATCTTAAATCAATCAGTCAGTCTCATATCTAAAGGGTCAATAATTTTGGCAGGGACGTAGAAATAGGTCACACACACAGTTCTTGATTATATTACATATTACATATTTATACATTTAACGGCATTTCCAACGAGGGCATGTAATACTTATTTCGCCCACTTCGGGGAGCTCAGGTTACATGAGGAAAGCTTGGATTAATCCAAGATCGTCTCTCCTTAGGAACCAGGGAATTTCTGTTGATTCATCCTTAAATTCAAGCTGGCGGTTAAGAGTATAGTAAAACATTCCTTTGTCATCATTTCTAAAGGAATTTTGTAGGAAAGTATTATGAACAAGCATTGACAAGGAGTGTCTTGCTGAAAATAAAAACACTGCAAAAGCAACTTTCTTTTCAGCACTAATATCAACAACGGATAGCTACAACATGTTAACATAACTACTCAAATAGAGGCAAACGTAATCAGGTAACTAAAGATTTAATTAAACTTAATTAAATGCTTTGAGTCTTTGGAGACTGCAGTCTTTGGCCATTCAAAGTTCGGCTGTCCTGGATTATGTCACACCTAGGTGAGACAAGGAGTATCCCTTTGATGGGATAATAAACAAAGAGCAAGGTCAGTTGCCACGGAAACATGTGCAGGGGGGCCAGTTTTGATAGGCTGTTCAGGGAAATGCCAATGGCTGGTTTGTGTCCCTTTGTCAGTTTAACAGTCAGGCCCAGCGTTATCAGCTTCGGAATCAAAAAGGTGCCAGTTTTATGGTGGGGCTAACACTTAGAGAAAGCAACTTTGACCCCTCCCCTTCTTCTCTGGGGGAGGAGAGAGAAATTTGGAGTAGCTCCAAATTTATTCAATATAAAATGCACAAATCCACACCGTTGTTCACTACATATAGCACCTTTCAAAAACAAAACAATTCAGAGTTCTTTACATTAGACATGAAGGCATTAACATAATATAGATAACAAAAAGAAACAAAGCACCATAAAAGGACAATACAAAAGATACAGACACATAAATAGGATTTAAAAGTATTAAAACAAAGTAAAATCGAAGGTGAAAATAAGCTAAAGTAAGTCCTGATTTTAAAAAAAAACTGAGCGTTGGAAAATACCTTAAGTTTTTATGGGAGTTTGTTCCAGATATGGGCAGCCTCCCCATGTTTAGTTTTGACTCAGACCAATCCAAGATGATCTGAGACGGTTCATAATGGAGCTGCAGACCAGAATTTTCTTTTGCCCTATACCATTCAGTGGTTTAGTGGTTTTCTTTGACAGATCTGATCTGAGAGCTCAAGCTGTGTTTAAGTGGATGCCTTTCATATGGTAGGTAACAAGTGCAAACGCACCGCAACTCAAAAATAAAATAATAGACAAAATACAGGCAAATTAAGAAAACATCTTCATTAATTTGGAAAAAAAAATGAGCACAACAAACAACAGCATTTAGAATACATGGTGCAAATACACAAACACGGTGCAAATAGACACAACACATCCAAATACACAAAGGCACTGCAAATTCACAAAATGACAACAGAGTTTCCAGAGGACTCTAAAAAGGGATGAACACGGCTCGGACATGTTTATTGTTGCCACGGTTTGTGACTCATGAAGTTATTTAAGTTGGATCCATGTATCATCCATTTATGTTTATGTTGTGGGTTTCCGAATTCTGCTGCCTCTCTACTCTACTGTGCATGCGTTGTAAGTGACTGCAGCATGTACATCGCAAGACCTTGCAGAGCGAACAAGGAGTATTCTATCAGTAATCTTATTGATATGTGAGAAGATCTAGTGTTTTTGACAGAGTTTAACCTTTACTATCCAACCACCATGATAAACAGGCATTATTACACCGGAAATATCCCTAGGTAAAGGCTACAAAGGGCCAAACATTGTAATGATAAAGTGAAAGTGATATCAGCTTCAATGTTTAAAAAGTTATTAATGAAGCTACTTTGACAACCATGGCCACAAGATGCTCCTGTAAGACCTGAGAATGACAAATCAAAGAGCTTAATGTTTCCTCATAGTGCATCACAGGAAAACTGTCTAAACTATCATGTTTAAAAACTTAAGTGAGGACAAAACTGTTTCTGGGTTTAATGCAGGAAACCTTGCTGACAGTAGGAACACTTAATCACTCCAATGTTCATAAGAGGCTACAGTCAGTATGTCATCCCTTATGATAGTGGTTATTATCTCTGATTAACAGTAGTTCCACTTTCAAATTTCTTCAGATTTATCTTAATTTTCTTTGAATCTGCATGCTCCAGCGAGGTAAGTACACATAGCAGATCAGACTGTATATGCACAAAGTGGAGAAACAGTACAACAGCCCACTCAATTCAATTCATTATTATTTAAAACTGGAGGTTTGATATGGTTCTATAATGGCTAATTAGTGAGTTATTGAAATTGTTCTTTTTTTAAGAATGGCTTAATATAACTGGAGCTTTCAGGGCCTGTGGGAAATTGCCTGCGACTGAAGAATGGTTATCAGGGCAGCAGCAGGAGGATTTCAAATGTTATAATGGTTATATTGTTGATAGGATGATTGATTTAAGTGGAGGCAAGGACAATACATATATCATCTGCTTGATATTGGGGAACTGACAGCTGATCAAATTTTTCTTTTTTTGTTTCAGTACAGGGGTCATGTGCCTTGCCTTTTCATTGTTTTTGGCAATGATATCAGAGAAGAAGAACTGCCCTGCATTTCTCAGTTCTAAATTATATATTTTTATGCAGTTTTTTACATCTATTTTTTAGTGTGTCTGCAGCATCTGTAGGTGAAACAAGCTAAGAATTTCAATGTGTAGCCATTGCACATATGACAATAAAGAAGTCTTTCGTTATACTGCACATTGAGATTGCCAACTGCATATATTTTTGTGGGTATTATTTCTTAAAAGTTGTTTCATGGTGTTATGATTTTCTTAAAGCTACATCTTACTGGATAAAATAATTGTAATTCCAATGATTATTATATTATTATAAGATCAGAGTTATTAAGTCATTCTAAACTTCTCTGTTGTATTTTCCACAGTCTTCAGGAGGAGGAGGAGGAGGAGGAGGAGGAGGAGGAGGGTGAAGAGGATGACTGGAGGCATCTACAGCCATCAGGCATCACTATGACAATATTTTGTTGTAGATTTGATTTATTTTTTCTCATCATATGTTTTATTGTTTGAATATTTGCTGCAACTAACGGTAACGGCCTTTCTGTGTGGAGTTTGCATGTTCTCCCTGTGTCTGCATGGGTTCTCTCTGGGTGCTCGGGCTTCCTCCCACCGTCCAAAGACATGCGGACTAGGTTAATTGGTGACCCTAAATTGTCCTTAGGCGTGAGTGGTTGTTCGTCTATGTGGGTCCTTGCAATGGACTGGCAACCTGTCCAGGGTGTACCCCTGCCAGCTGGGATTGGCTCCAGCCCCCTGCGACCCTGTACGCAGGATAAGTGGTTAACGATGGATGGATTGCCAGGCAACGAAGACCTCAGGAAGTAACTGGTTCCTGCCAAGAAAAAGTCTGTAAAGAGGAGAATTGTCCTTTTAACACTTTGGTGTTTGTGAGGATTGAACAAACAAGATATACATGTTAATTAGTGATATTTAAGTGTTGGAAGAAGGATTTTGTTGATGTTGTCCTGTTTCCAGGCTTTATGCTAAATGAATCCGTCCGTCAGCTAGGTCTGGCTTTGTATTTGACGTACAGACATGAGAGTGGTATTATAGTCTTCTAATCTAATTCTCAGCAGGAAAGCAAATAAGATTATTCCCAAAACATGAGGTGTTGGATAAAGGTTTACCCTGACCTACACTAGATCTTTGATAAAAAATTATGAAAAGTTATTTGGGAGTTATCTCATAATGTTAACCGGAACACTAGATATGATTTTTGAATCTGGATCCCAAATATAATGTATAAATTTGGGGCCTTAACTGTGTGATCCGGATAACTTTGTTAAACCCAGGATCCTCAGTAAACTAACAGGGACTGATGTTGAATGTTTTATGCAGTTATTCAGGTAACTTAAACCTGCTTCTTTGAACATGACTGTTGCACATGTGTAAGGGGTTAAAGGCCATTTACAAGTCTATTCATTGTAATGAACAATGTACAGTATTTCACCTTGACAGTAGTGGGGCAAAAGTATTCAGTGCTCTGTGAGATTAAGATAAGTAAAATCTGTTAGACCAATGAAGCACCATGTAATTGTGCTGTTAAAGTCCAAAAATAAATTTTGCTCGTCATATCTGTCAAGAGTCTTTATTCTACTGAGGGCTAACCGCTAGAATTCCATAAGCAGGACATACTCCATCACAACATTACATACACTCAGTTTTTCCTATGGATTAATTATCAAAATAATAATTATTCACGCAGGTTCACCAAATTGGACAATAGAAGATTCGGAAAAACGTTGCCTGGTCTGATTAGTCTCTATTTCAGCTGCGACATTCAGATGGTCAACATTTGGTGTAAACAAAATCATGGATCCATCCTGCCTTGTATCAACTATTTAGACTGGTGGCAGTTGTATAATGGTTTGACTCATGATCAATTGGTTCTAAGGGGCCGAAAGTGTGTATCATAGATGTGCAGCCAACAAATCTGCAGCAACTGCGTGATGCTATCGTGTCAATATGGACCAAAGTCTCTGAGGAATGTTTCCAACACCTTGCTGAAAGTATGCCACGAAGAATTAAGGTAGTTCTGAAGGCAAAAGGTGGTCCAACCTGGTACTAGCAAGGTGTACCTAATAAGGTGGTCGGTGAGTGTGTATCACAGCAGTTGAAAGAAACCCTTGTGTAATAGTGCAGATCATACTACAACGCCAAAATTGTCAAGTCTTGTGAAATCCTCCACCCCTCGTAATGGCAGTCTTCCAATTTTTAGATTCAGTTTGAACTGGAACACAATGAGTAATCTCTAACCATCTGTCCTGACAGCCACTGGAAAACACTGATGACAGTCAGCTGATGTTTGTCTGACTCTGCATCTTAAAAAAGGCATTATTAATGATTATCTTCTTATAAGCATACATTCATTTGTTAATATTGAAGTGGAGACAAGGCTTTTGCCTTGTCTATCTCTAACCTTGACCAAGTAGATGTAGTTTCCAGAATGTTTTGAGCAAGATTAGGTTTTCTTTGAGAACTGAAAATAAGACTAATTTGCTGATCTTTGGAATTCTTGTGGCGAAATGGAGAAGTACACGCCTAAGTATGTAATCATTTCCACCCCAGGCATTTGTTAATCCACTGCTTATGGTGCGACCAAGTTTAGACGGTATGAATCAGACCATGGAATCCAACCACCACCTTACTTATCTGTTATTTCTGGATAGGTGACCACTGCAAACCAGCATCGATGGAGGGACACTCTAATCAACATTTTGTACAAGGATCTCTGAAAAAGAGGTATGTTGTGTTTTGCCAAAAGTAATTTACAGACAAAGAATTATATAGTATGTTTTCCTACATGGTGATGTTAATTATGTTTGGGTTCAGTTAGACTTCTTGTGAGCCAGCTGTTAGAAATCTTCAATAGGAGAAGACCAAATACCCTATTTGGGACTTGGAAAGAGTAGTGAAGCGTACTGTCAGCACCAAGTAGTTAAAGTATTTTTTAAAGAGGGAGAGAAGTACTTGTGAGTGAGTGTTACTTTAAAAAATAAATAACATTTTTGTTTTTAAGATAAATTAGAGTTTCTAAGCTTGACACAAATGAAAAACAGTTAATAGAACATTGCATGCTATACCTAACGCCTGTTAGTCTGACGTCATCACGCTGGTGGATGTACCAATATGTACGTGCATTTATGTATAATAGAAAAAAAAGAAACACAACAAAATGGCGTCTTTGCACCTTTCCATCGAGTGTGTGGACAATGCTGATGGATTTCCTGGTGTAGTCATCTTTGACGATAAAACTTTCCCGATTTCTATTCAACAAGTAAGGTTTATACTATTCAGTTTAAAGTGCACAGTTGAAATCTCTTGTGAACAAACTGTTAGAAAACATCAATAAGACAAATCCAAATTGATTTCTTGGGGATTTAGGAAGAGTAGTACTGCGTAAAACGTACTGTCAGCACCATCATAGCTACAGTTACATTTTTTTCTGTAGAAGATATGTCATCATCTGATGTCATCACATCAAAATCATGTTATAAATAACTCATAAATTTATAAGTATAAAGATGATAAAACAACGTTAGCCTGTTCCTTGAGCTGTTAAAGAGTGCCCAGGTTCTTCAAGACAACAAAACAGGACAATAAGGTTCATACTTAATTATATAATACATAACATTAATAAAGATTAAAAACAGAAACCACTTCACCACATTTCTGTTAAGTAAACATAAGTCTGAGTCGTGTGTGGTGGCAAAATTAGCAATGTTAGCTTAGCCAACAAGGGAAATTAATTTTTAAATATGTTATAGATTGACTGTCTGAACACTCAGGAAGAGTGTTCAGTTTGTCAGGTTTCAATGACTTGGTTTGATTTGTACTGAACATGAAATCTGTTCATATAAAATATATATATATATTGATGTTATTTTATGTATGTTTTTCTCCTTGCATGGCTAGGTCACTGCTCTTGGTGCTGGACATGGACATCACAGGTTTCTGTAGATATATCCTCTATAGTTTGCACATCAATGTGTGAATGTCTCACTTTAATGTCATCCTGAATTAATGTCTGTTTTGTGATGGCACTAATCTATCTAATTTATCTGTGTCTCTGTGTAACCTTTTCTAATTAGTTCTGTGAGAACTTTCCAGTCACCCCATTATCAGGATGAGGAAACTGCCATGGAGTATGATTCAAATGCAAGGTAAAATGAGACACATGACAAATTTTCTTGATAGCCATTTTTCACAAATACTGTCCTTTTCAAAAGGAGAGAAAAGGACCATAATTCAGAAAGTGTGAAAGAAAGAATTTGAAAATGGTTGTAGTAGGGGTTTGATGATAGACTCAACTCATGAGACACGATATTGGGTACACTTAATTTCCTGCATTCTTGTGAAACTTTCTCCCTCAATTTATGGTGGAGATGTTTTCATTTATATAAAGGGAAGCAACAAATTCAACAGGCAGGAGACAATTAAAAATATAAAAACTGTAATTGAATATAAAGCAGTAAGGCTCTACAGGTATCCTTTATTGCTTTCAGATATGTTTCTCCTGTATCAGCTTTTCTCATTTAGTATCATCCCGGCTACATCAGCACACATGCAGGCATGATTTAGTCTTCCCCACTCTTTTGTATCTTTTTTTTTTGTGCATGTGGCATCTTTTCACCTCAATGATAAATTTATTAATTTTAATTCCGTTATAAACTGCTGGACTTTCATAGCTTCTCACCATTTCAGCAGGTTGTCTACACATGCTCAAAACATTATGCACATTCAGAATCTATCCCACATCATGAGAAGCTGCCTAAGCCAAAACTGAATCCTTCGCACGCATATACAAACATATACGCTTGCACATACAGACATGCTGTCATGTGAAAGTATGTATCTATGTGTGAGGTTGAGTAGTATGCATCTACCCCCCCCCCCCCCAAAAAATGGACTTGTGTTTAACAGGATTTGATCACCAGACCTGCTGTATGAAGGCCAATGACACTGCCACTGCACCACCCAGCTACAGTATGTAGGTTGAATTAGGACACCAGTAATATGACGCTTTTATCCAAAGTGACTTACAATTGTCACTTATAGTATATACAGTGCCTTGCGAAAGTATTCGGCCCCTTGAACTTTTTGACCATTTCAGGCTTCAAACATAAAGATATAAAATTGTAATTTTTTGTGAAGAATCAACAACAAGTGGGACACAATTATGAAGTGGAACGAAATTTATTGGATATTTCAAACCTTTTTAACAAATAAAAAACTGAAAAATTGGGCGTGCAAAATTATTCAGCCCCTTTACTTTCAGTGCAGCAAACTCTCTCCAGAAGTTCAGTGAGGATCTCTGAATGATCCAATGTTGACCTAAATGACTTATGATGATAAATAGAATCCACCTGTGTGAAATCAAGTCTCTGTATAAATGCACCTGCTCTGTGATAGTCTCAGAGGTCCGTTTAAAGCGCAGAGAGCATCATGAAGAACAAGGAACACACCAGGCAGGTCCGAGATACTGTTGTGGAGAAGTTTAAAGCCGGATTTGGATACAAAAAGATTTCCCAAGCTTTAAACATCCCAAGGAGCACTGTGCAAGGGATAATATTGAAATGGAAGGAGTATCAGACCACTGCAAATCTACGAAGACCCGGCCATCCCTCTAAACTTTCAGCTCATACAAGGAGAAGACTGATCAGAGATGCAGCCAAGAGGCCCATGATCACTCTGGATGAACTGCAGAGATCTACAGCTGAGCTCAACTCTGTCCATAGGACAACAATCAGTCGTATACTGCACAAATCTGGCCTTTATGGAAGAGTGGCAAGAAGAAAGCCATTTCTTAAAGATATCCATAAAAAGTCTCGTTTAAAGTTTGCCACAAGCCACCTGGGAGACACACCAAACATGTGGAAGAAGGTGCTCTGGTCACATGAAACCAAAATCGAACTTCAATCGAGCAGCATCATGGTTTGGGCCTGCTTTTCTTCAGCAGGGACAGGGAAGATGGTTAAAATTGATGGGAAGATGGATGGAGCCAAATACAGGACCATTCTGGAAGAAAACCTGATGGAGTCCGCAAAAGACCTGAGACTGGGACGGAGATTTGTCTTCCAACAAGACAATGATCCAAAACATAAAGCAAAATCTACACTGGAATGGTTCACAAATAAACATATCCAGGTGTTAGAATGGCCAAGTCAAAGTCCAGACCTGAATCCAATCGAGAATCTGTGGAAAGAACTGAAAACTGCTGTTCACAAACGCTCTCCATCCAACCTCACTGAGCTCGAGCTGTTTTGCAAGGAGGAATGGGCAAAAATTTCAGTCTCTCGATGTGCAAAACTGATAGAGACGTACCCCAAGCAACTTACAGCTGTAATCGCAGAAAAAGGTGGCACTACAAAGTATTAACTTAGAGGGGCTGAATAATTTTGCACGCCCAATTTTTCAGTTTTTTATTTGTTAAAGTTTGAAATATCCAATAAATTTCGTTCCACTTCATGATTGTGTCCCACTTGTTGTTGATTCTTCACAAAAAATTACAGTTTTATATCTTTATGTTTGAAGCCTGAAATGTGGCAAAAGGTCGAAAAGTTCAAGGGGGCCGAATACTTTCGCAAGGCACTGTATGTCAGTGGTCGCACGCCTCGCTACTAATGACAGTTTAGTAAAATGAAATGAATGAAATTCCAAAACTATGATATGCTTCCAAAACTTTAGCTATGTATGTATGCAAACATATAAAAGCTCTTTGCCTACTTCAGTGCTCGCTTTGGGAACTAGCAAAATGCAGTAAATTTAATCTTGGGAATGAAGAGCCTAGCTGTTCACAACATATTTGGTGAATTTACATACTATTCTCAGGTCGTAATCTGAGAATGGCTTTAAATTAGTGTTTGGCAGGGCCTCATCAATAAGAGGTTTAAGAAAACAAGAAGACAACCCAAGTATAACGGACAGTGCCTTACTGTTTGTGATAAAATTTAGAACTCCATCAGATAGACTTGCCCATACATGAATGCAAAAATGCATGCAACTACAGTCTATCCGATGTGACTGAGCATAGACAAAACAGTGGCAGTAAACAAAGCGTCTCTTTGGCCAAGAAGCAGACAAGGGTCTTTTTTGGGGAAATAAAGTCACAGCAACATAATTGTTCTACCATGATCTATACAAAAAAGCTTCTCTTAGAAGTGGTAAAGAAAATTACTCTAAGTGACAGAATCATCTAAACTCCCCCACGTCCCCTTACTGGCCTTCTCATAAGCTTGTGGTCTTCATGAGCAAATTAATGGTCTCTGAACATTTTTCTCTTACTAACCTGCCACCATAAACTAGATGAGAGAAGACCGGAGTCACCCTCAATTATGACCAAATAAGCGATGAACTCAAAGAGCAATCTTGGTATTTTCAACCTGGACCTGATTTTCGCATGTTTTTGTGTCGAGCTGACTAATGGGGACAATTTTTTTTTATTGGTCCAGTATGCAGTGAGTGCAAAACCTTATAGAAAGAATCCCTACAGAGATAGACCGTAACATAAAGTTAAGATAGTTTTTGTTTAACCAGAAACAGCTGATAATGCACTCTGTTCAACACTTACCCAGCAGAACATGGGAGTTGCTCGTCTACCTCTGCCTTGATTAGTTGTTTGATCGGTTAGTTTGTTTAAGTCACAGTAACAAACTAACCGATTGAAGCCCTCCTTGAGAATACAGGCATAAACGGGCACAAAAAATATTAGGCTGATGGGTACATTAGCTGCAGATGGATACACACACTACCAAATGCATCAGATAAATATTTACATATTTACATTATTGCATTATGTTTCTCCTTGTTTTTACATCTCCATTGGGCTACACAGGGTGCGATTTGGGTGGGGGAGGGGGTGCGTGGGATTTCCCCCCTTCTGGTTTATACATCCCTACCTCTGCTGAATAATTTTCAACCCCTCCCCCCCCTCTGTTTTTACACAAATCACACCCTGGGGCTACATATAACTGGATTTGAGGTTTAGTGATTTTTACCCACTCTAAACTTTTCTTTTGTAATTCTTTTAGTCTTGAGGACGAGAATGAAGAGATTTGACTGAAGACACCGTCACCTTCCAGATGAACCTGCAAGACATATTTAATGCCATTCTGACAAGCAGGTTGTTAATGTTTTGTTTTTTAGATGTCATACAAGGTTTGGTCTATAGCCATGCTGGCAGCTCTGAGGGGCTATGCTTTGAGTGCTTTGAGAGAAATGCTAACATCAAGCTGATATCTGATGACAATGCTTGCATGCTGAGTTTTAGAAATTTTTAGAAAGTTATTGATTTCCAAATTGTGTTAACAGCTATGTTTAACTCTCAAATAACCAGTTCAAGACTAGCAAGTGAGTACCATAAACATCTTTATCCTCTCTACCATCCATGCGTGACAGCTGCACAAACCCATAATTGTCCAGACATTTCATAAAAATGACAAATGTCACCTTAATGGTGACACTAGAGGTGAAGGATCAACAAATTTATTGTTGATTCATCCAATGGGGACCTTGAATGGATGCTGAGATGTTTTAGTCTGAACCAAACACGGACAGACCTGCCCTAGCGCCTCAAGCATGGCTAGAAGAAACAAACAAAAAAAGAAATTAACTTGTCTCTCAGAGTCACCCGAAAATGTGAATGTGAATTCTGACATTTCTAATGGTGTGTTGTTGGTAACATGACAAAAATATGGAGGTGTGTATAGTTTTTATAACATGTATCATAAGTAACCTGATTCATCTTTACAGCCTACTTTTCATTATTATTTATCTCTTTATGTATATATAGAGATGTAAATAAGATTTATTTTTGATACAAATTATTTTGTAGATGATTTGTCCTAATCATTCCACCTTATTTTTGTTTTGTTGGTATTACTGTCAGTCAAAAATGTCAGAATTTGAATTCTGTTCTCTGAATATTGAACAAGTTAAGAAAGCTGTCTCTGTGTCTTTACTTTTACTCACAACCTGATATTGTTAGGGATAGTCTTAGCCAACATACTCTACATTTACAAATCTCACCTCAGCAAGTACTACATTTATCATAAAAATAACATTTGATTACCTTAATTCCTTCAAGACATACAGAGACCATGAATTCTATTAATGATGTCACGAGAACCAATACTTTTGGTACCAAGTCGATGCCAAAATCCTGAAAAAATGCTGTTCGTTTTTACCATCAGTACTGGGAATCCAACACATGGCAGATGGTGACAAACGTGTGCAACTGCAGCGACAGCTCCACCTCGACTCAAAGAACAGTACACAATTCGACACAAAGAAAAACAGTACAGTAGAGTATGGAAACTGGAGTGAAGTTAGTTTAATATTTACCTTTTGTTGTTACCTACAATAGCTCTGTGTCCAAGCATTGATTTCTCCCAGTTTTGCGATATTTTGGAGAGCTAATTTAGGTAGGGCGCTATGATTTCCATGATGTGGTAAACATGGACGGAATTGCGGAATTTGATAATAAAAGTGGAATCAGCTGTTAAATGCGAAATTTGCTAAAATGTGGTTGCAATTTATAAAAATCAGTGGGTTTCCTAGCATTATAAGCGTCTTTTTCACAATACTTAAGCCAAACAAACTATACTATACTGAATACTATACTGCTATGTTTAGGTGTAATTTACATGTCATTTACTAGCACCCTGCTTCTCTCCTCTGCTCTATGTGTCGATGTTTCACTGATACACGAAGTCAGTAAGCACCTTGTATATATACACAATGGTGAGAACTTGCCTTCGGCTCGCATAGTGCCTTTTCTTCAGCATTGAGAACCAAGGTCCAGGGAGGCCTTTAAAGGAGAACTCCGGGCATTTTTTAAGTTGATCTTGATCGCTATACCTTTGTGAGTACTGTCTATAGAAAAAAAAACGAACCGGATTGGTGCTTGCAACACGGAGCTGCTACAGCTAATGCCCAGAGCTCCCACTCAGCTAAAATGGCAGTTATGGGGGCATATACAGAGTGTCTTTGTGCCTCTTAACAGACACAAAATGCAATTAAAATGTCTGTCCAACAGACAGGGCCCTTACATGAAAACATGATGCGTTTAGCAACTTAACCATTGTTTAAATTCACCTAAATAGTGTTTTAGACGGCTAGCTGTAGTCTCGCGCTGAAGTCCTGTGAGAACTCAGTTGTTGCCGGAAAAAGGTAAATAGCAGTGTGCAGGTGGGAGGAGCCGATTGTGCTCTCCTCCTCGGCTCAAAACACCGCCCTCTGGGCAGAGCTTCAGGAATACGGGGTTCTACTCATACACAGTATATTACTGGACGAAGCCACCCCACTGATTTGAATGGAGAGCAGTGAAGCCCGTTTTGGACCAATAAAATACTACAACAGGGCTACTTCCTGTTGGCACCAGCGTCTACTGCGCATGATCACGCAGCATAACCGTGGTTTGATGACGTAGAACAGCAGCAGAAACACCGTAATTCTGGTAGCTGCATAGCTGCGGCAACAAAAAGTTTCATGGCTCAGTGTGTTTGTCTGACTCGACTCTGACATCAGGGTCCTGTTTTATCTGGACGACCTGCTGCTGCTGGCGCCGCCCAGACGCCCAGCTAGTTGCACACCTGTCTTACCTGGGCTTCACGGTGAACTGGAAGAAGAGTGCTCCTCTTCCCTCCCAGAGACTCACCTATCTTGGCGTGGTGCTGGACTCTCCTCTCTCCGGAGAGCGCGGCTCTCTCAGGAGAATGTGGATGATCTGATGGAGCTGCTCGACTGTGTTGTCCCTCGAGCGGTGGTGCCAGCTCTGTCGGCCTCATGTCGGCGGCTCACGTGGTGGTCCCCCTGGGCCTCCTCCACATGAGGAGGCCGCAGCGGTCTCGGTCGGGGTTCCCCTGGGCAGGTTCATGTCTTCACGGACGCCTCCCTCATGGGCTGGGGCAGGACCTGCCTTTCTCAGGTTCGACACTGCATGGTATTTTATAGTGAATAGCGTAGATGCTAAGTGTGTAGTGAATAGTTTAGATGTTAAGTGGATAGTGCATGTACTTGGTGTTGGGTCTGCTGCCTCTTGTCTCCCACAGTTGCTGATTGGGGTGGTGTGTATGAGGCGACCTGACCTTCCTACCCTGAGGAGAGTAACACAGTTTTCCCCAACCAATTTAGTATCAGGCTAATTTTACTTATATCGTTGGATTTTAATTGGGATTTTAACAATATACTTCTACAATGTATGCCTCTTTGCAATTGTTCCCGGTAAATCAGAGTTCACTACACACAACCTTATATACCAAGAGTTTTAAAGGGTTCCTCCCGCCCTTACCAGGAGGTGGCATTGTCAGGTCCAAAAAGGTATTGTTTCTACTCTATTAGGCACCACGTATATGATCTCCTCGCAATAAGTAATGTTAGAATATATAGAAGTGTAGCTTACTTAGAAATACTGAGATGCCAAAATATTGATTAGACCTTGCAGATATTCCGTTGTGGCTTGGCTGAAGTTTGATAGGACTAAAGGTCATTGTAAGTATTTAATCTGAGAACATAAGAATAGTTTTTTTCTCTTCTTCGTCGTTGTCATCGAAAGTGTTTGGGCAGCAAAAACTGCTGGACGAAAACTCACCAAAATTGGCACGTAGGTTGCAAATTCCACCCACTATTCAGACAAAAAAATGGCCCTCGTAGACCTCATGGTGGCGCTATAACAATCAACTTTGCGTTTTTGCACTTATCTCAAACGGCTACATTTAGAGTCAAACTTCTTTAATCATTTTAATCTCTGGATTTATCTGCATCTTTGCTCCAATGGTCTTCTGATCTAAAAATGTCAAATTCTCTGTCACTTTTCTCTAAAACCTAGACGTCCCAGACAGTTTCGCCAAACGACCTGAAACTTTGGCAGGATCATCGACGGACGTTGCTGATCAAACGTTATCAAAAGAATTTTGATACGTCAATCTGTTTTTTTTTTTTCTTAAATTTTTACACTGAAAAAAATCATAGACCCATTTAGTTATGTCAACTTACTTCTTCTTTTTAACTCAAATAGCTGTGACAAGTTTTGGATTTTGAACTCAACTGTATAAGTTTTAGAATGTTAAACTTGCATTAATTCATTGTGTTGACTATTTGACACTTTTGTCGTGTTGATTAAACTTACGTATGTAAGTTATCAGTTGAAAAAAAGGCGAGAGTATGAGGATTGCCTAGGTGCTGCGTCTTTTGAGTTTGAGAAAAACATATACATAATCAACTAATTATTAGGGTTTAGCAAGTACTTGGTTGAAACGAGTATCCGGTACAGATACTTTTTATGAGTGTCATCAGAGTAAAATGTGTCAATATCTGTTTTGTTATAAACTATAAATATATGAATCTTTTTTAAAAAAAATCAATTACTATTCTCTGAAGCTCAATTCTGAGGCTGTTCAGTAAATGGTTTTCTAATAAATATAGCTGATAGAAAGTTAAATAAAGTTCTGATAGAAATTTCAGGCTTAAATAACTTCCAGTTAATACCGCCCACTTATAGATTAAGCCCCGCCCCTTCTGAGCACAGATACAGAAGATTTGGTGTTCTTTCTCAACCCTGCTAATTATACACTGCAGATATGCATATATTCAAATTCCAACCAAAATATAGACACTTCTGTGGTAAACAAGACTAGTGCCACCGGTGGAAAGAGTTCCAGACAACAGCCTTAAGGCCCTTTCAGAAAAGAGGTGACACTTGCTGCTATTTTGAACTTGGACTGCGGTGTGCACAGGCGCACCAGCAAGCTACCCTGCCCCGTCACAAGTCATTGAAGATAATAGCACAGTGGTGCTGTTGTTGTGATCTGTCTTCAAGGCCCTGTAGATGTACACTGAAACTAATTTGGAATTTAAATCCCTTAACTTGAAATGGAAAGTAGTGTTAAGTTAGAATAACTCACACTTGTTCATTTAAATAACATTGGGACAACTAGAACACTGTAGTTATATCCACTTTATGAATTTAAATTTATGAGTTGAAACAAAGGCAATCTTCAAGTTGAGTTATCTGAACTTAAAAATGTGAGTTGAAGGGGTGTAGAATTGTATGTTTGTCAGACAAGTGAAAGCAAGTTTCCTTGAATGGACAATGTAATATAGATAGTTGTTTTAACTCACAGTATTAAGTTCAAACAATAAATTATCATTAATTAAACAAATTGTATAACATCATGAGTTGAAACAAAGCTTTACTTAAAGTTGAATTTACTCACATTTTTAAGGCAGCAATTGAACTTAAGTTTTTAAGTTGTAATGATTGCGCAAAGTAAGCATGGCTTATTACAAGAAATGTAAATTTCTAGACATTTCTTATTCCTAACATCAAAAAGAAGAAAATCATCCGTACCTCTTAGAGAGCCGACATTTTTTCAGAACATCCACTCAAATGTGACTAACGATTGATTCAGTGCAACATATGGTCAATTCAGAAGTCAGTCACTCTATAATTCAATTAATATCTATATCTCCACAAGTCTTTCTTCCAACGCTACCAAACTCGACAGTCGTTCTCCAGATGGCCGATATCAAGTGTTTCAAAGGGTTTTCAGATCGGTCAAACGGTGAGTCTGCAGTGATACTCAGTATCTTGCTATTATGATTATGACGATTATATAATGACACTCTGATTTCAAGGTGATGCTGTAAAAATCAAGTTTACATTTCCGCAATCATATAAAAATCCTAATTCTTTCATCACTTTAATCTCTTAAGTTGTCTGCATCTGTTCTTCTCCTCTGAAAATGTCAAATGTTGCGTTTTTTTCGCGACTGGCTTGGATCCCGAACATTCCCGCTCGCGGCTATATTTTTCTCATGAATTTATGTTTCTTTGTTTTTACATATAAGAAACATCAAACTCATGGTTAGATATAAGTTCATTACCCAAACACAGTGGTGGATGAAGCATTCAGATCCTTTATTTAATTAAAAGTATTAATACCACACTGTAAAAGTACTCTGTTACAAGTAAAAGTTCTGCATTGAAAGTTATACTCAAGTAAAAGTATGTAAGTATGATCAGGAAAATGTACTTACAGTATTAAAAGTAAAAGTACCCAATGCACAAAAATGTCCCCTGTGACTGTTGTACTAGTATATATTATGTCATGAGAGAATTTTACTTGTGCTTTCATGTAAAGCAGGATGTTGAGCTGGAACTCATTTTGAACAATTTTGTATCTGACTGCAGCTAATGATTATTTTTATTATGAATTCATCTGCTAATTATTTTCTCCTGAATTGATTGATTGTAAAAATTCTGAAAATAGTGAGAAATGCAGTCACAGTTACCCAGAGCCCAAAGTGACATCTTAATAATTCTTTGTTTTGGCCAACAGTCCAAACCTCAACATTATTATCAAACATTCAAATTATTAAAAGAATTAAAAGGAAAAGCAGCAAATCTTTACCTTTGTGAAACTGGAACCATAAAATGGTTTTGCATGAAAAATTTTGATCAAAATAGTTGATTAATTTTATGGCAACTGACTAATGTATTAGCTAATCATGTATAATATGTTGGGTAGTTTAATTTATAACAAAACATCGTATTTTATAAACTCTTCATATGTTTTGTGTCTAAAAAGCTTAATCTGTAAAGTATCTAAAGCTGTCAGATAAATGTAGTGAAGTATAAGTACAGTATCCCCCTCTGAGATGTAGTGGAGTAGTAGTAGAAAGTGGCATGAAAAGAAAATACTCAAGTGAAGTACAGGTACCTCAAATTTGTACTTAAGTACAGTAGTTGAGTAAATGTACTTAGTTACTGTCCACCATCATGATATTTAACACGACCGCTTTTATGATCAATCTTTCATTAAGAGACAGCGATCTCTGAATATCTTGAGTTCATCCTCAGCACAGAATAAAATCTATCTAGCGTAGGCTACATTACTGCAGTAATCACTGTTTAAATCAAACTCATCTGTATGAAGCTGTAACAGATTAGTGAACAATCATTTGTCATGTTGTGATTAGTCACACTGTAATTATCATTTTTCTTTTTCTGAGGATGATTGTGGTACAGTTGAAACAACTAGATGTAGGCCAGGCCTAGTTTAAAAGTGAGTTTTTGAATATTGAATACTAAAAATGTACAGTCTGTTTGAACCTAGACATTTTCAGAGTTGATTGAACTTATTGTGATCAATAAAGGGGGGGGTGGGGGGGTTGGAATCCAGAATCCAGGCAAACTAATGTTTTCTGAAGGCATAGAAATCAAAATGGGCAAAACAGGCAAGCAAAGCAGAGTTTCATAAACAAGCAGGTTGGCTGGTATGCAAACTGAGACATATAGATAACAGGGACTGGATGTTTGGTCTTTACTTATAAAGAGAGCTGATCCTAGGCAGATAATGGTCAGATGAATCATTGCTGATAACTAACAATCCGAATGGCGTGATAAGAGAGACAGAGAAAGAGGGCACGCGGGAGAGAGAGAGAAACATGGACAAACACACAAAAACAAAACACACCAAGCACATTGCATTTATCCAAAGGCAAAATAATAAAACAAAAAACTCTCACTATCAAACCATTGTCATGACAGGGTGTCGTGAAATGATTTTCTTACTAAGTCTCTCTGAATAAGTTCCATGTTATTCATTTGTTGTGGAGTACGGTTTCAGACTCTCCACTCTCGCAAGTGGCTGCGGCCCCTCAGGACGAAAACCAGAAAAACAGCTTCTTCCCGTCTGCAGCTAGTCTCATTATCAAGGCCCGGGTCCCCCACTGACACTCCCTGCTTTAAAATAATGCAAATGTCTCTGCACATCTAAATTCTACTTCATTTCATATCATGCACAAACCTGGCACATTGCAAATATTTGTTGTTAATTGTTAATCGTTGTTTTTATATTTTGTCATTTTTATAATTATGTATACAATATTCTCTTCCATTGTAATACGTCTGCACAACACAAACTGGAGTAATGCACATGTAAATATCTGCCACATTGTTCCTTCTCTGCAAATAGTTGTATTATTTTTCTGTATTCTTTTATTATTCTTATATAACTTGCATTTGTTTATTCCACATATATATATTTCTAAATATATTTATGTCAACTGTTTGTTTGTCTATGTGTAGCACCTGATCACCAAAGCAAATTCCTGGTATGTGTAAAACACTACTTGGCAATAAAGCTCCTTCTAATTCTGATTCTTCTGATTCTGAGTACAGGTGGAGGAGGAGCCTAATTTGCGGGATATAAATTGTGGTGCTTGCTAGTTTTGGAGTCTGCCTTCTCTTCGAATCATAACATGGATGAATAATCATCTCTAATTCATTGTACAAGGATGTACAATGGTACCTGTTGTTATTCTCAGATGGACCAACATGACCCAATGAAAAGTTGGATTAATCACCATGTATACAAGAACCTCATGAAGAGAGGTGTGTTTTTAAGTGTTTCTTGAGCACTTTTTTTTTGTGGAATTGAAAAAGGAGCCAAACACAAGCCATATTGGGACTAGAAGTAATTTTACATTGAGGTGTTTCTACATTTACTTGTAAGTAAGTACATTGTCTGAATACCTCTACCACTAATAAAAAGCTTCTTTTGTGGACCGATATATGCACTTCAATATTTCTGCCATTTCAACAAGTGCTACAGATTGGTTACTGAATTAATATGTCTTATTTTATACTGTGTAATATTTAACCGGTTTTACCTTGCCTCTGCTGTGCAAAGCACTTTGTAACTTGCCTTTGAAAAGTGATAAAGACAACTAGTGTAATTTAAAAAAATATTATGTTTTATGTGTATAACATAAAACAGGATAGCATAGCATAAAGGTGTACAAAAAAAAAATCTTTCCTGTAATACAAACAAAATGGTCATACCTACATACGTACTACGTACTACGTATTACGTACTGCATACTACGTATACTTACGTACTGTCACGCGACACACACGTGGCTACCCACATCCGCAAAGAAGATGCCGCTTTGTTGCAAAGTATGTAAGCTTTGACTTTAACCAGAAATGAACAAATATGTACAGGTGTTGAGTATAAAGTATATAATAGTATAAGTTTGTGATTCACTTTCGTCAGCAGCCAAGGAAGCTGGCTGTACTTTAATGTGAATTGGAGACTTGGGCAGTTGACGATAGCACAGCTAGCTTGTAGGAGAGAAATTCATCAAAAGCAATAGTTTGGGATATTTTAAGTTGGGTTGTATTAAGTACTTATCCATAGTCAGTGTATTACCTGGAGTAGATGGCAGTCAGCGTCTGCCCCGTTTGGAGAAGCAGAGAGTGGTAACCGCACAGAAGCAGAGCCATGTACGGTAACCCAACGAATCCAGGTCATAGTTATCCAACGAAGGTTAAAGTCAAGGGCAACTGGACTTGGTTGAAGATACTGGAAGACGTTTTGTCCCTCATCTGCAGAACTAAAGAAGTCCTTTGGATGAGGGACGAAACGTCTTCCAGTATCTTCAACCAAGTCCAGTTGCCCTTGACTTTAACCTTCGTTGGATAACTATGACCTGGATGACTGAGAATCTTCATAGACATGTACGGTAATGTTTTAGTTTAAGGTTCTTGTAATAACCAGTAATTAACAGTTAATTAGACACTTATAAGACCTTATAAGATGCTTACAAACATAAATAAGTTAATGTAGGTGTTAATTAAGCACAATTTATTATTGCTTATAGGACACTTACTAGAAACTTGTTAACAAGTTATACCTTATGAACCTTAATGATATGTTTATTAACATTAATGAGACTTAATGAATTTTAATAATAGTATAAAACACATTCAGTATTGGCTCATAAGATATTCATGAGCACCTCTTAGCAATGTGTCAAAAGTTTATAAACCACTTATCAATGTACAATAAGATATTTTAACATTTTAATAAGACTTCCTGAGTGTAGTAATATCATAAAACTCATTGGCTCGTAAGATATTTATGAAACTTTTTAACAGTTACAGACTACTTATCCATGTTAATAAGATGTTTAATGACACTAATCAGACTATAAGTGATATATATTACTGCTAATAAATAATTTTTTCTGCGCTTATTAACCATTAACAATGCTCCTTTGCAGCTACTGGAACTAAAGTGGGAACAGTGTCTTATTAAGATTAGTAATTTTTTATAAAAACAATTTATAAAAGTTCAAATCAAACTCCAACAAGTTTCTAATAAGTGCTCATAAATACCTTACAAGCCAATAAGAAATTTGTTTTATAATATCAAACTAACTAACACTCATTAAGTCATTAAGACTCATAAGGCATACATAACTTGTTAACAAGTTTCTAGTAAGTGCCTCATAAGCAATAATAAATTAGTTAATTGTACTTTACTCAACACTTATGGTATTGAAATATGGAGAATATATGTTACACTTTATTTTGACAATGTGTTTTTTCTGATATTGCAGTTTTTTGTCGAGTGTGTTGGTAATACTGAGGTGCGTCCTTGTGTGATCAGCTGCAGTTATGAAACTACTGACGGAGTTATATGATTCCAGGTGAGTCAAAATGACATTTAAATATAGTCTTAAGTGATGTAATATATCATTTTTATGTAGTTTTGATTATGCTTTGTTTTTTGTTCCTTGGTCAGGTTGCCTTTGAGAGGACTGCTTCTGGTGGAGGCCTCACAGGTTAATACTGTAGTCTTATTATCAGGTGCATTCCACTTTGCACAAGCAATGCATGAACATTTTACTTTAATAACATTTTGATCCAATATCTGCCTTGTTAACTGTTAATGTTATACTTTGCTTCTGTGTAACAGTTCTAATAGACCATTACAATCCCTTAATTGGGAGGATCAGGAAAAATTAAGAATGAAATTGATTTAGGTATAATTCAATTAGCTGGATTGTATTGCTTAATTTCTGTGGCATGTGTACAGCATCATATAATTTTTGTTTTGTGCATACTGTATAACACTGTATAACAAGTCACAAAGTGGAAAGGATACAGAGCATATTTCTGAAGTTGTGCAACTGACAGTTAAACCATTTAAAAGATTAGCAGTGACACAAATGATGTAAAGTCACGTGACTGAAAAATCTCAAAAGGGTCCAACTGCAGAACCTCAGACCTCATTCCTCAGGCCCCTCTCATGCAGTTATTATAGTCCACTGCTGGTTGGAGGGTGTAACTTAAATAAATCATTCATTCATTCATATCTGAATACGATGTAGCAGTTCATGCAAAATCAGTGAGCAGCTATAGCATAAATAAATGACCACAGACATACTAACTTGCTTGTTTTTTGCCTCAAGTTTGGTCAGAAACAGATTTTGTTGGACTGCTATGGTGAAATAAGTGAAAGCTGACGTAGCCTACATCATACAACAGAACCCACTACTCATGCTCAAACCCCTTTGGCTTGCAGCACTAAGGGGCCTCAGGAGGGAGGACTGCAGTTGGACCCTTCTCCAAAACCTAGTTACTGTAAACTCTGTAAATGATGTAAACAAATACTATTACATCAATCTTTTTAACACTAACTATTTGAATAAATGTTAACTCACAGGTGTACCGAACTCAACCAAAACAAACATGACTGATCAGTGATTAGTGAGAAAAGGGCTCATAAAGTCTTTGCTCATCTTCAGCTGGGACTGAAGATGAATAGTTTGTTAAAAAGAGTGTTTTGTTAAAAAGATGTACAATAGGCTATTACATTATTCAGTGCTTATGGAAATGTTTCTGTGGTCACACTGAAACTAACTAACAAAGGCTCATTAGTTTATGAATGACTTACCACAGGCAGATAATCTGTTATCCATGCAGGAATGTGGCATCATCTGACTCGACCATGGATACCCACTGAGGATGAGATCCCAATGGAGGTAGACTAGCAGGCGCAAGAAGACCACTATTCTGGTAAAATATTTCTGTTCAATCTCAGGCTGCTCACTATTGATTAACTAAACGCAAACTAAATAGTTAACTCAATATGTTTGGGATTCCACTTATTCACTTTCTTGCTGAGAGTTAGATGAGAAGATTGGTACCACTCTCTCTGACCAGCAAATATGAAGCTATAGTCAGGCGGTCGTTAGCTTAGCTTAGCATAAAGAAGTCTGGGGGGAAGCCACAACCTGTTGTTGGACTTTGGTTTTGAATGGATTAAAAAATATATAAAATAATTAATTAGTGAGCTTTAAGAATAGTGGTAGTTACATTTTATAACTTCAGACACAGCCCGGGCCAGCTGTTTCCACATTTCCAGTTTTTATGCTAAGATAACTGGGTGCTGGCTGCATACTTATATTTAACGGAACAACGAGGGAGTGACTCAATAAGCTTATTTCCCCAAACTACGAATCTGTTTTATAGTAATAATTTAAGCTACACAATCAACACAACATTTGTGCATGTTATCAGGAATAAATACATACTGTACAAAGAGATAAAGGTTTCTGGAAACTGCAGATAGATATTAATACATACTTTATCATACTTTGTAGTAATACCATAACAGATATAAAATGACCCTGTGCACACAGGACTTCATCAAGCTACCAATATCAGCTGTCCTTTGGGTAGTTGCTGGACAACTTAATGCTCTTTCAAAGTCCAGAGAGATATTAATTTGTAGTTGTAGTCATTTAGTTTTATAACACAATAGTAGATGATTTAGTCTTGGATTAATTTTATCATGCTGAACAGGTCACAGTATTTCTTTGGCTGTTACCTACTATTGACCTTGTTTTCATTTCTTTATTATCAGGGTCAAGAGGATCTTAATGAAGACCCGGAGACCTGAAGAATCTTAATAAATAAACATGTTGAAAACCATGTTGCCATTGTATTTAATGAGCACAAACACACAAAATTATTTTAGGAAGGTGAATTCCTAGACACATCCATTATTCGTAAAATTATACATAATTGTCAGGGGGGGCTATCTTAATATTCTTTATTAGAAAAGAAATTTTTTAAGTTTGGATGCATCTATCACTAACAAGTAACACTTTAAATCCCCTTATTTGGCCACCATAAGTAGTTTATAAACATTGACTAAATTGTTTATAACAAGCTATAATGTAGTTGTAATGTGTTGAAGTTAAGGGTTACCCTCGACTACTGTCACAGTAGTATGAAACTATGTGCTGTGTAAAGTACACTCAACACCAAGTAGTTTTAGTATTTATTTGCGGAGGGAGAGAAGTACTTTAATATTTTTCAGTGAACATGACTTTAAAAATAATAATTTTTCAAAATCAATACATAATTAAATAAATAATAAAACAGACAAAGGAGTATTTTAATACTCTCTTGTTAAAGTAAAATCTGTCTGGCACAATATGGTATCCAGGTCATTATACTCTATACCAGGCTGCTGGGCAGGACAGTTTAAAAAAATAAAAATAAAAAATAAAATAAAAAACAATAATAATAATAATAATTTTAATGTGTAAGAGAAATTAATAAAAGGTCTTTCCTTCTGTAATAAAAATAGTAAATGGTAAATGGTTCACCATTCATACTCTCAAATACACTTTTTCCTTAGAGACAACAGGCTAATCTCAGACCACACTCCCACCTCGTTAGATATACATTAAACCTTCCCGATTACAACCCTACTTTCACACAATGGCGGTTCAACTCTAATCTGCTTGCCAATGATTCATTTGTAAAAGCTATGAGGTCAAACATACAACTATTTTTTGAAGTGAATGACACTTCAGATGTGTCCAGAGGAACTCTGTTGGAAGCTTTTAAGGCCTATCTAAGGGGCCATGTTATATCCTACCCGTCCCATCTCAGGAAATTAACTCAAGCCAGACAGTTGGAGCTGTTGCAAAAGCTTCGGGATATTGACAGCAGCTATGCCAACTGCCCTGAACCCTCTCTCTACAAACAACATTTGCAGCTTCAAACAGAGTTCAATCTTTTGACCACCAATGAGGCAGAATGACAATGAGACAATGAGTCTTCAAATCTGGGTACAAGGCTGGTAAGCTTCTGGCCCAGCAAGCAAGGCCCGCAGCCATGTCTAGGCTCATCACGAGTATTAAATCCTCATCAGGTGCTGTCCTCACTGACCAAATTTCCATAAATGAAACATTATCCCATTTTTATTCAGACCACTACAGACCCATAGACTGTATAAAAGGACAGACCCATGTGCTCAGAATTTTCTGTGCAATACAAGTGTAAGGTTGGACAGAAAAACTAAATGTTAACTAAAAGTATATTATAAAACAAAATGAAAACAAATGAAAGAGATTGGGCAGGTAAACTTTTCAGCTACTCTACAGACATGCATGTTGATGGTCATGCACCTGTGTCATCTGCACCTGGTTCTTTGGAAAATCTCAGAAAGCCAAGTAGCTGATGTAGATTCACCATGTGGCACCAATTTTTGTAATTCTTGTAGTGTTGAAGGAAGAGAAGGACAAGGATGACAAGGTTTAGTAAAGACAAACCTTTTTTTTGACATCCTTATTGTCTTTTGATTTGCGATACAAAATTTGGTCTATACCCATGCGAGCAGCTCTGTGAGGCTGTGTCTGGCCCCAGCAGTGCTTTGAGCAAAACATAACATCATGGTGACATCCAATGACAATGCTAAGATGCAACTTGTATAATTAACTATTTTTTACTCTCAAATTACCAGTTCTGTAAACAATTGTCTGAGTTTTCCAATAATAAGGCTAGCATATCAATACCACGGACATCTTTAATATCTCTATCATCCATGTGTGACTGCTGCATAAACCAAAACTTGACAAGACATTTTAAACCTGATCAGGTTTACACAGCTTACATTATTATTTATCTTTTTATGTATATATAGAGATGTAAATATGATTTATTTTTGGTAAAAATTACTTTGTAAATGAAGTGAAAATAAAAGCTATTAATTTTTGTTTTGTTTGTACTGTAATACTGCAACACATTTCCTGTGATATAAGAAATGACCTGCTCTAGAATGGAAGGAAAGAAATATAAAATTTTGACAGATATTCACTAAATTTTGTGGCAGTCATTAAAGAAGACAGATATTTTATTAAATCACTACCAGGGTCCAAAAATTTACTTTTTATCAGCCACTTCTGAAATGTATGCGTTAAATGCAGGAATAACATTCAGATATTTTAGGCATCATTTGATGTGAATAATATTGTCATTTAATGTTCAATATTTTTAAACAATAACATTACATGCGTGTTTGCACATAAATATATTCCATGTCTTTCAGTACGTGACAATCACTCCACCTTAGAGAATATTAAGCCTTTGAAAATGAAATGTTGATTGCTGTTCACATTTTCATTTTCCAATAGTTTCATTTTGGTCTAAAATAAGCATGCACAAAAAATGCAAATGCAATAGGCTGGGGACGCTGTTTCACTTATTGCATTTGAAGTCCACTAAAGAGCAGAGTAAGTCTACGAAAATGAAAGCTGAAGTCAAATACAACAAGTGAAAATAATCACATTTCATAGTTTCATACTACTGTGATAGTAGTCAGGGGTAACCCTTAACTTCAACACATTACAACACAACTACATTATAGCTTGTTATAAACAATTTAGTCAATGTTTGAGAATGACAATGAATGTGTTTGAGGAAGTGGGAATGTGGCTATAACAAAGGACAGAGGCAAACTACAACAAATGACTGATTTAAGTCTTTAAACAAAAGCGAGCCTTTTATTATTATTTTTTCATTGATACCACGTTTTGTGTGTTTGAATATGTGCAAACAGCATATGTTTAGTTTTTGTTTTGATTTTACAGCAAATCCAAAAATAAATGAAAGTAAGACTTGGTAAAAAAGGCAATAATGGCATGTTGTTTACAAAATCAGTTTAACATATTTAAACCAACACTTAGTTCATTTCTTTAAAGCCTGTTGCCGTGTTTCAGTCCAGTCTCCCCATATTTACATAATGCTTTACATTTCCTGCAGGTGTGTACACATAGTTCATACTACTACTATGTGTGTAACACTTGCACAAAATACTTACTTATTTATTCCAGCATCCTTTGCACTTTGCTCCATCGCACTGTGTACATGTGTACATGTATGCATGCATGTGTATGTGTTCCTGCATATCAGATCCACCTCCAACATGTACATAATTAATGATAATAATAATTTTACTCTTGCGTCCTTTGCACTCTGCTCACTGCACTATTATCAATATGTCTATATTGTTTTTTTTTCTGTTTATAGCATGTATATTTGTGTTATCTATACTGTAGGCTGTGTCTGATTTTAATATTGTTATTGTATAATTATTGTATATTGTAGTCAAATTCCTCGTATGTGTACACATACCTGGCAAATAAAACTGATTCTGATAAGATCCTAACCCTGTCCATTTTGTCAAGATGTTGATCAGATTTAACTCCCCGTCATCAAAGAACAGCCCAGTCTCACCCATTGGTGCACAACATGCAAGGTTTTACATTTTGAAAATACATGTAATGTGTACCCCATAGTCAAATTTTACACACTGTTGCTATGTGAAGCACTACAACAATGTCTAAGGAAACCGGTGTGTTCATAATGGCTCATGCTCTTTTTGTTCCCTAGAAGAATGCACACTGATAATGTCAGCATATAAGGAATTTAATGAAACATTCACAACAAAATCGTGGCGGCCAACAAAGCCAGGGAGGCTTGTTGGCAGCATATCGCCAATGTAGTAATCTCCTAACTTCACAGTGTTCTTGTTGTGTATTCTCTATTTTTCTTACAGACTCTTCTTTTAATCTGATTGAGATGTAAAGGTACAATGGCGTATTAAAGCCATTGTAGTTTTAAAACAGCACAGAGTTGGGGGAGAGTGGTAATACTCTTAGAAAGATGTAAAAAAAAAAAAAACAAACTTGAATATTCTGACATCATACATTACACACAGAAATAATAACAACAAACTGTGTTTTTTCTGTCAAGGAACCTAATCGCTTCACTACGCAAGGCTGCTACATCACACTACAGACGCTGCATCTTGTGGTGTATTATGCCTGCAATGTTTCACTTGCTGCAGTGTGCAGGGCTGTTGGGAGACTTTGAGCATCAGGTTATCAATGAGCTGCTCATTTGAAGTAGGGTTGGGCAATATTATAATATATACTGTATCCATGCAATAGTTGAAATGTGAGAGATTTGGAGATACCATTTTCACCGTGGGAGCGGTGAGTGTTTCCCCTACCAGTGCTTGGGAAAAATATTTTATTTGCCTAATTTATGTACACTCAAGGGCAGGACACACAGACTGATACTTGCCTGATATCAAGAACTTTACTTGAGTTGATGCCAACTTGTTACGTTAAGTAATGCTGAAATTAAAATTATGGTGTTCTGTCGTGAGGTGCAGTGACTTAAACCAATGGTGAGTAAGAAAAAATTTAAATAATATGAAATTTGATAAGCTATGTGTAGAGGAAAAGTCAGCTAACCAGTAGGCTAATTTTTGCAGTGTAATGTGCATTAGGTTTAAGTTAATAATGGTGGCTAGCAAAAAACAATTGTTCTGTCCAAAGTAGTTTACCTAAGGAAAATACTTATGTATCTGCTACAGTTAAGCCTAAAATTATTCATACCCATGGCAAATTTTGATTCATAGTGGATTTTCATTTTACCATGAGGGATTAGAATTGGTTAGAATCTGGCTGGAATTGACATAAACAAGTGACAAGACAATAAGATGTTGTGTTATCTTTAAATAAAGTTATCTTTAAATAAAGAACCGAGTGACGGCAAGGAGGCCTTCCAACCTCAAAGACCTTGAGATTGTTGCAAAAGAGCAGTGGTCCCAAATCCCAGTGGAGACATGC